TGACAGGTAAGCTTCCAGTCTTAAAAAGTACACAAGGCTGTATCCGTTGACCCGTTAGAGGCTAGCGGATTCTACCAGTTAATAGTTATGAATGAATCAGCAACACAAAGAAAAGGTTAGTGAGCAACGGATCTATGGCCGAAAAAGTTATTAAAAAGTTGTACGGAGTTCAACTTATAATTGATTCATGGATCACAGCAAACTATCCTGTAAATGATACGAGAAACAGCCATGTGGTTGGCGGTTTCGGATTTGCCTGGCACTGTGGCCTCCACGGGGACAGCCACAGGACGCCTGCGCCTACAGAGGGACCAAGGGGTGGCTAGCGCTGCAGTACCCACAGCTCCATCCACACACTCCATATCCAGTGTAAACACGAAGCAATAAGACCCACCCTCTTTCAACATGCCAGGCAGCAGCATTCCCATATAATTGGGAATTGCGTACCAGATGTATAAAGGGCTGTGGCTGATCAGTAGCCCGTTCCACATTGAATGGAAGCAATCGTTGAACCTCGCGAGGACCGTGATCCCCGTCTCCTAAATCAACGACCAACTCTCCTGGAACAAGTATAATAGAGGTAACGGTTTCACAAAACTCACGTCAAGCGCAGTTACACCGGGGATATCAAACAGCAACCACAGAACATGAAGGAAATTAAACACGAAAACTGGGCAGCAGATGTGTAGTAGAATGATAGAACAAAGCACAACAAAAGGGTAACAAAAAAGCGTAAGGGCGATCTCGGCAAGTGTAAGTTTGTCAGGGGATATAAACTTAACACAAAAAATAAGCAGGGTATATGAGAAAGATTAACAGAAATGAGAAAAGAAAACAAATGGTACAGTCATGTTTAGTATGGTGCGGAATAATCAATAATAAAAGCCTGAAATACAAGAAATTCAACACGCAGACATATGTACAGACCAACTGCAGCGAGGATGCAGCATTACTGACCTGGGTTAGTAAGTGGAATCGGAAGATACATACTTACGAAGCGTTGTGCAGACTCAAGTTCTATTAGCTGTTTTCCCCACGTGGAGACGCTGTTGGCTCAGTTACTCGCAACCGCATGTGCTACAGAACCATGTACTCGACGTCGATGGGCTATTCACTATCGACGCCTTTCGCTTCCGTACACGGCGTTTCTTTTCAGTATACAACAGTGTTCCTACATTTTAATGGGCAATCACCCGCTTCATATGCTTTTGCCATTCGCGACGATCGACTGGCTTTGATTCCCGACACGTGAAAGCAACAATGGTTTGTGATAGGTTCAACTTGAGCATTTCCTGGCAACGTAACTTCGGTTTTACGACGAGCCGCCTCACTGTGCTAAATTGTCTATATAGCAGTTGTTTCGCTGTGTTGTGAGTTTCTTTGTCTGGCCCCCTCTCCTTTAAATTCTTGATCCAACTAATGCAGGGTGTAATACTCACTATTGAATTTTTCGTATTGCTGCATATTAGCTGTGTGTTTCTCACTATCAGCTAAAGTGCACTGATGATGGTTATGAGTTGTTTCGGTATTCTGGTCCTATTCATACGGCAGACATGCCCGAGCCAGCAGAAGTATGCAGTCCACCGCATACATATCACTGCCGTGGAGCACCTCCTTGTAAGCAACTTGGTCACACCAACCGATGCGCAGAATATGGCGCAAGCACTGTTGATGATGAAAGAGCTAGAAGAAACAAATGCCCTTCCGATAAAGCGCCCAGGTTTCCATTTGAATAGAAGAACGGACAGAACGATTGAGTTGTATACCATCACCTTCGTAACAGCAGTAATCTGGTGGTTTCTCCACACACGATATACCAGCTTATTGAATGCAGCAGCAGCCCTGGATATGCGGACTTGTAGCTCGTCCATCATAAGTAGCAAAAGCCGGTAGTGTATTCCAAAACGGCGGTATCGAACTGGATTTGGGGCTGGCCCACCGAATCCACTTCTGGTGAGCCCGAATTCGGCCACTGTCCAAGCGACAGCCGAAGGCATGTGTTGCAACTCACCCGCGCTGTGCAAAGAAAGCATGGCCGCCAGCAACGTACGGATGGTTCTCTCAGACACGGGATTTCGCCACGAAATGACAAATGTTAAGCAACCCACCACCAATATCGTGCTCCACACGGACACCGTAATCGTAAGCACATCAAAAGCACAAGATCATAAAGCAGATATATATATATATATATATATATATATATATATATATATATATCATCTTGTCGTTTCAAGTGAATGGCTGTTGCTTGATATCCTCGGTGTGGCTGCGCTTGATGTGCATGTTGACAAGGTGTCTACCTGTCTACTACCCATTACCTTGTCCATACTGGCTCCAAGTGACAGTTGGTCGTTGCTGGAGGGGACCGGGTGCACGGTCTTTGTGACCGTGCTAGGCTAGAGGATTGGTTCCATGCGATCAGGTTGGAGTGGACTACGGTCCAGCCACCGCCTTGTATGCGATTAATTTCCCAAATACAGCGTGCTTGTGTTTGCATGTGAAGGTGCCTGGGCCGGCTCCGTTGATGAAACGTGGTTCCCATTCACATACCATCCGGTTTTATTCCTTTGGGTTTGTATTGGATATGGGTGTGTGGTCGGAGCTGTGGTTGGTGCAGCGCAAGTCATCCATGATTCCTCTGTAGGCGCAGGCACCATGTGGCTGGCCAGTGACAGGCAAATCCGAAACCGGATGCCGCCAACCATTTATATACACATATGTGTATATATGCATCATGTTGAGGTTGATGTTGCATGCATGATGCTTCTTCACAATTTGGGTTAAACCGACTTGTTGTTATACCATAGCTTTTTAAGTTGGATAGAAGTTATTCCACTTTATTTGATTTGCTCAGCGCTGTTATTTTGCTGCATATTCTGTGTCGATTTTGCATCTTTGCTCTCCCTCAAATGCTATGTCGGTTCTTTGATATCCCTGGTGTAGCTGCACTTGATATGAATGTTGACAGGGTGCCTAGCTGTTTAACACCCTCCACCTCGATTACTGGTTCCAGAAGACTGTAAATCGTTGCTGGGAGGACGTGGTCCAAGGTCCTCGTGGCCGTGCTACTCAGAGTGGTGCCATCCAGTGTGGAGCGGACTACGGCCCAGCTACCGTCCTTTGTACATCTGGTACGCATGATTTCCTACATAGATGGATAGGAATACTGCCGCTGTGCATGTTGAAGGAGTGTGGGCAGGCTCCGTTGTTGAAACTGGACCAGCATCGCAAAGACGACAGGTCCTGCAGAGAACCCCAGCAGAACCGGGGTCCCGTTGGTAGGCACGTTGCCTGTGCTTCCATTCGGTCTACTAACCGCGTGTTTGGGTACTGAGTTTCTTTAGTTCATGTAACCGGTTTGCGATATTATCTAAACGTTTATATTGTTACCTCATTTAAGGTCTATCTGGATGATCTTCTATATACTTGTATACGTCGCTAAACGGAGGGTGATCAACTTCGTTGGTATTTTTCGCGCTTGTTGCACACGTTTTTGACCTGTTTCTGTCATCTTGAATTTATCGCGGATATGTTGAGAAGCTATATATTTCATACGCTAATTCAGCGAAGAGTTATGTCGGCAAACCCATATGCGTCATTTGATTTATTTTACTTGGTTTTGTCATTTCAAGTAGTTGACTGCTACTTGACATCCCCGATGTGGTTGTGCTTGATGTGAAGGTTGACAAGGTGTCTGTTTATTACCCAATACCTCGTGTATCCTGGCTCTAAGAGAAAGTTGGTTGTTGATGAAATGGACGAGGTCCACGGTCATCGTGGTCGTACAGGGCACAAAGAATGATTCCATGCATATGGATTGTGTGTGGAGCGGGTTAAGCATCGCCAGGTGTGTGTGTGTGTATGTGCTTGTGTTTGTCTGTGAAGAAGTGTGAAACATTGAAAGGTGGCGCCCATTAACATGCCTCCTGACCATTTTCTTTTGAGTTTACACTGGATATGGGGTGCAGTTGTCACTGGTGTGAAGCAAGGCTGTGTCTTAGCTCTGCCCTGTTTAATATATATCTTCATGCCATGATGTCTTGTGCTTTTGAATCGGCTTGTGCTTAGTGTGTTCGTGTGGAGTACCGTATTGATGGTGGGTTGCCAGACATTCCTCGCTTCGGTGCGAGAACCCCAGTCTGTGAAAAAACTATCCGTATGTTGCTATTTGCTGACGACTGTGCGTTGTTTGCACACAGCGCGAATGAGTTGCAGCACACGACTAGTGCTCTGGCTTCGACAGCCGCCAAATTCAGGCCCACCATCAACACAAGCAAAACTGTCTATCTCTTTCAGCATTCACCGGAGGTGCAATCTCCAATGTTGTCGGAAAGCAGAATTGGAGCTGAAGCATTGGAAGCCACCACCAGCTTCCGCTACCTTGGGAGTGTGGTTTCGATTAACCAGCAGCTGCACAGTGGGCTGCGTTTCCGCAGCGGCGGCATTCGGGAAGCTGGAGTAACGAGTGTGGAACAACCCCCAGCTTACCGCCGACACGAAGCTGATGCTCTACAAATCCATGATGCCGTCCGTTCTATACGGCAACGAAAAGTGGACGATGTACCGGCTGGACAAGCGGTATGTCGAGCAGTTTCATCAACAGTGTCTGCGAGAGTCTGTTTCGCATGAGATTACTAGTCGTTGGACCAGTATCATGCCAGGGCGTCAACGGTTGAACAGGAGAATGACTCGGATCCTCTGCCAAAGCATTTGATAAAATGTACTCCCGAAAAGCAACGGGCCGCGCGCTAAGAGTCAGTGAACCGACTCACGCGGGATTGCGTGTTCTGGCTCTTGGATAGAAGGGCGTAACCCAACTCCCACCCAACGGTCGCCACAAAGCATCCACGACATTAGTACATGGTACAACATTGGAAGCAGAGGGTTGACGATCTGTTAGGATCTAACCAACATAACCCTAAATAAGGAAACTGAGAACCAGACGTAAAATTCATCGCAGAGACATGTAGATTAAAAGAAAGAAGGTTCAGGCTCACCTGAGCTCCACAATAAGATCAGAAATCTGACGAGAACAGCGGACACTAGCATCACGGATTTCTTTTGTTTGAAAAACATGCTGCGGGAATTCAATATTATTTCTCTGAGTGGAAAACTCGGCTTCGAATAAAGATAATCGCTAAAAGAGTCAATGGTTGGTAACGGACATACCTTAGCAGTGGTGTCCCAGGTTGGATCGGTTGAACGACCGATTGAGTCATACAAGGCACGAGACTTTTCAATCAAAGAAGCAGTGCGTGAGGTTAGCTCCTCAACACCAAGGTCCCAACGAAGACGACAACCGACGATCGAAGACATCGAACGAGTGAGGAAGGACAAGCTGCAGAACGGTTCAGCCCAGTACCGTCGTAAAATATACACCTTAAGCGCAGAAACAATATGATCAGGTAACTTTGGACAACAGTGATATACCGAAGACCATAAAATGGTTGCAGTACCCAGACAAATTGGTCAGTGAGTTTAATGTAGACTGCGGATTTCACATCATACAAACCATGCTCCGCCAAGTGGACAAAGGGTGTTGTAGTAGTAATAAAATGAAAAATAGGTGTCCACAAAGAGTAAAGAAGGCACCAGCAGAATGTCTGTCATTAACATCATCATCATACACGTCAGCTAGAGGTGGGAAACACCTCAGCTACTGTGCCGCAATACATAAAGGAAAAGGAAACTAAATACAACAGTTGCATGCCAGCTGAGCTACCAGCAACGGATAGGTGTCGTTCCGGTAAGCTACAAGCAGGCTACTAGGTAAAAAGAAAAATTATGTTTTACGCTACGAAATGAGATTATAGATGGAGGCGGAGGCTAAAAGGGATGGGGAGGGACAAAGAAACTCACAGCACAAACGCCACTGAGGTCGGCTCCTTGCCATGTCAGCAAGTGTATCCAGCCAAACGTGTTCACCATCTTTTGGACCCCAACCAGGGAGCCGTGACGCTCCAACCGAGGCCAGCTCCGAAGTGAGGGACTTCATTCCTCTCGACCAAGTCATCGCTTGGCCACCCCTCCTCTTCTTCCATCTACACCCCCGGTGACCAAACAACGCACGTCGTGGAAGTCGGTGGGCTGGCATGCGCAACACGTGGCCCAGCCATCTGAGCTTGGTGCGTGAAATGACGCTGCTGAGCGGTTCAGTTCCTTTTCCAGGGCCGTAAACAAGGCGTCGAACACGCTCGTTACTCACGCGGTGTTCCCACCAGATGTGAGCCAAACTACGAAAGCACCGATGGTCGAACGTAACTAGCCTCTTCATGTCCGCCGATCTTAGGGGCCAGGTTTCGCAACCGTACAGAAAGGTTGAACGTACCGCTGCATTGTACACTCTACCCTTCAGAGCAAGAGTAATGTCGCGCCGCCGCCATAGGTGGCGAAGGTTAGCAAAAGCACTTCGAGCTTTTGCTATCCGGTTTGTGATCTAGTCTTCGATCCCAAGGGCGCTGATACAACTTCCCAGGTAATTGAATTTCCGAACGACTTCTAGCTGATCCCCATCAAGGGTCAGCGCAGGAGGCGATCCCTGCCAAGCTTGGAGGAACGCTTTGCATTTCGATGGTGAAAAGCAAAGCCCGAAGCGGCTGACTGTCAGTGCTAGTCTGTCAAGCGCAACTTGGCACGTCTGGGAGCTGTCACAGATGAGGGCAATGTTGTCCGCATACTCTAGGTCAAGAAGTCGTTCTCCTGGGAGTAACTACACACCTTCCAAGTCATGTCCTGTAAATGCAATCTCCATGACTTCGTCAATAGCGAAGTTGAGGAGGAAAGGTAACAACGGGCATCCTTGTCTCACGCCGCTGGAGATATTGAAGGGTGGCGACAGCTTGCCGTAAGCTCTCACTCTGCTCGTGCTACGCGCGTATAATGCTCGGATTATATTTACACATTTCTCGGGCACACCTTTCCTGAGTAGACAATTCCAAAGGGCACATCGATCAACCGAATCGAAGGCACCTTGGATGTCAAGGAACAAAACTACGGTGGGCCGCCAATATGTGTGACGGTGCTCAAACAACTGACGCAAGGTGAGGATATGGTCGATGCAGCCACGACCACGACGAAACCCGGCTTGCTCCTCACGAATCTGGCTTTCACGAGCGCCAGTCAGTCTGTGAAGGATCATGGAGGCGAGTAATTTGGAGGCGATGGAGATCAGACTGATTCCTCTATGGTTGCCGCATTCCGAACGCGAGCCTCCTTGGAAGATGGGAACAATAACGGAGCGGCTCCAGTCGGTTGGGACAATCTCCTGTTCCCACAGTTTCACTAGTAATTCATGTAAAGTAGCAACAAGAGCAGAGCCTCCGAATTTGAAGAGGGCTGGAGGAAGGTCATCTGGTCCCACGGCTTTGTTCAACTTCAACAGTCCGATCTCATGTTCGACTTCTGAGCGAGAGGGCGGATCCAAGGGGACAGCACACGGAGCAGGGCGATCGCTGGCCGGCGAAGAATCCAACGATTCTAGCCGATTAAATTGCTTTTCAAAATGCTCAGCCCAACACTCCAAACGTTTCGACAAATTGTGGATAGGCTGTCCACTCTCGTCATATATAGTTTCACTAACACCAGGAACAACTAACGATGGTTGCCAAGGGCAGCGGCCACTTCCATCTCTGACGCACGATGAGACCACCAAGATTCGCGGTCTCTCTTCAGGCTAGCACGGAGTTTTATCCGGAGCTCTTTGCGAGTTTCATTGTGCTCGCTTCCAGCCGGGATATGCCGGCGAGCGACGATAAGTTCCAGAGACCGAGAAGAGACCCAAGATCCATGTTGGCTTTTAGACATACCACATGAGGATTTGCCCGCTGCTAGTAAGGTCTGGTGAACATGTGACCAGTGACCATCAATTGTCTCCAGTGAGCACCTACTCAACTCGCATGTCAGCGTACTTCGATACGCCTTCAGAACAGCTAGCTTCGTCAGTTGGCTGGTGTCAATGCGCTCACAACGTCGTCGTGGGCGTCCGCCAAAACGCATCCACATGTCAGCACATACAATTGCATGATCGGTGTACACACATGTGCTCCAAATCGAGCGACAATTCTGGATGCAGCCTCTCCAGCGGTAACTAATAGCAATGTGATCGATCTGCGTCCAAGGCTGGTGGGCGCCAAGTCACCCTCCGGCGGGTGCTGTGTAGGAAATTAGTGCTCGCAAGAAATAAGCGAGCATCTTCACACAAATGAAGTAACCGCTCACCGTTATCATTACGGGAGCCTACACCGTGCTGACCGCCCAGATGCATTTCATCAGCGGACAACTTTCCAACTTGTACGTTCAGATCCCCCGCCAGCGCAACAGTGTCCGTGCTTCTTCTGTGGCGAAGGAGCTGAGTCAGTTGGCGGTGGAAGTCGTTCTTTACCGAATCATCGCTACAGTTTGTGGGCGCGTAGGCAGCGATGATGAATAGACACCTATTAGTCCCTCGCGACTTCGAAGCTTTAAGTGAACCAGCCAATCGGACCGCACACATCCGGCTACTGACTGGAATCCAATTAACCAGAGCAGCTTCAGTTCGCGGACTCAGGGCAATGCCAACACCAGCCTAACCGGTGCTCGAAGCTGCGTCGTCACCGAATAGGCGCAATGAGAAAATACTGTTTGCGTCACCTGAAGGGGATCGCAGAGTGAGCACAGAGCTCGAGTCTTGCAGGCGGGTCTCCGATAAGCAGCAGATATCGATCGAGAGGGTCTCCAATGTTCGGGCAAGTGCTGCCTGTCGACCGATCTGTAGCAATGTGCGTACATTGAGGCATACCAATCTGAAGGAGGATCGAGGGCTCCAAATGGAAGCCGATGAACTGGAATGGACCGCTTGGTTGGACATGGGCTTGTCGACAGGAGAGGAGTGACGCTCCGCGTTAGCATGTGGGTTGAAATTAGAAGATAAACGCCTAGCAAAGCATGTTGGGGGAGGGCCAAGAATCGGGGGGTTGAAAACAGGGGGATAAAAGTGAAGTTGGAACGGGACGGTAAGAGTGAAAAAGCATAGGTGAGGGAATAAGAAAACGCGAAGGCTTGAGCAGTAGCATCCAAACCCCTATCCACCCTGCTCGATGCAGCAGATAAGGCAAAGTTGATTATCCTCTGCGGTGGCCAGAGCATCAGAAATTCGTTTGAATGTCGGTAAGACGCACCGACGTTTCGCTGCCACGCAAGTAACAAAAATCGCGGGGTTATCGATATTCTGAGCCTGCCTGCACTCACGAAGATTCGAAGCGGTGACGTTCAAGTTCGTTTAGGTTCAGATGGGACCAGAACGATAGGATAATCCAGTAAACGGTCCTTCCACTATGCAGCGTTGAATCGGAAATTAATAGGTGTGCTTGAGATGTCCATAAGCTTAAAACGAATACCGCATCACATCCTGACCAATCAATTACTCCCCAGATTTTCCTGCTCAGCAGTCCGTCAGACCGGTATACGTGAAGTGAGAAAGAGTGAAGGGTAGGCTAAGAAAACGAGAGGAACGTCAACCAAAAAAATGAGAAACCCAAGGTAAGAGAAGAACTAGGAAAAAGAACAGAAAGTTGAAGATATAATCGATTAGGAGAAGGTTTGGTACTGGCACACAAGAGCACTCAAAAGACTCTCAAAACCTTAAACGTGGGTCCCCGTAGGACGTGCTCCGGAAGAGAATACCAAGGTCCAATAATTCGGCGCGACAAGCGAGTTTCTGTCCTTACCCGGTCAAAAAGCAGTTTGTGCAGCTTCAAGGGGTGAGCACGGAGACTAGGCAGCTTGGAGGGGCTGAATAGCCTGGATAAGTCTGGGCTGATCTTACCCGCTCGGGTCCGATAAGTGAGTAACAAGTCTCCTCTAATTCTCTGGTAGTGCAATTAGTACATACCCAAAGTAAGCAAACGTTTGCCATCGTAAACCCTGTACTAACCTTGTACCCACTCGCAAAACCTTCTTCAGTTTCATGTTGGACAAGCCTGGATACAGTATTTTAAGTTTGATCGCACAAACTGAGAAAAGCTCACAAAAATATCGTCAGTTGAGGCACCGAAGAAGCGGCGAATAATCCACATCATACGGAACGCACTACAAGCAGCCTTCCTCCGCCTCCAGAGTGAAACACTGAGGTGTGATCGATGCCTAGATCAACCTGCTGAGTGACAACAGAGATTTCATTTTCACCAACTACATAGCACGTGAGTGGAATTGCACCTCCAATGCGGAGGACATAAAATTTCGCCTGATTTATGGGCATCAATCAAAAGGTTGACCAAATCCAGAGCCTATCCAAGGCACTCAGAATTGCCCCAAAACCCCCAAGGATATCCACAATATTCCATAGCTTGAGGTCATCAGCAAACTATAGCGACGGTATTTCAAACACCTAGGGTAGGTCATTG